CTAATGTAATAGAAATTATGAATACATAAGCTTTCAGAATAAAACATGAATTTAATCTCCAGCTAAACTAACTACTGGTCAGTGGATTTGGGGCAAACTAGTCTTCATCTACAAAATAATAATAATTTCTAATCCAAACACTGCTCTGAATTGTTAAAGAATTTATAAAAAGTATCTACTACAGCAGCTAGTATGGTAAAAGAATACAACCCTTTCGCACACGCCTCTTAATTTTAAGCCATTCAGCGTTCTCATGTTTTGTTCGAACAACTGCCTCTTGGTCCAGGTACAGATTCCTCATGAACACGAGTATTCCGGAATACTTATACTTCACAATATTGTCCACAGCTTGTCATGATCCACACAATCTAAAGCCTTTGTGTAGTCAATAAAGCACAGGTAAACATCTTTCTGGTATTCTCTGCTTTCAGTCAAAATCCATCAGACATCAGCAATGATATATCCCTCATTCCATGTCCCCTTCTGAATCTGACTTGAACCTCTGGATGTTCTCTGTCAATGTATGTTTGCAGCCATTTCTGTATTACCTTTAGTAAAACTTTACAAACATGGGATGTCAAAGGTATTGTTTGATGATTTCCACATTCCAGTGGGTCACCTCTCTTTGGAATGGGCACAAATCTGGATCTATTCCAATCAGTTGGCCAGATAGTTGTCTTCCAAATTTCTTGGAATAGATGAGTGAGTGCCTCCAGTGATGCCTCACTTTCTTGAAAGGTTTCAGCTTTTATTCCATCAATTCCTGGAGCCTTGTTCTTTGCCAATTCCTTCAATGCAAAGGAATTGCATTGGACTTCTTCCTTCAGGATCATTGGCTCTTGATCATATGCTACCTCTTGAAACGGTTGAACATTAACCATTTCCTTTTGGTACAGTGACTCTTGTGTATTCCTTCCATATTCTTTTGATGCTTTCTGCATCATTCAATAATTTGCCCAGAGAATCCTTCAATAACAAAAGTCGAGGCTTGAATTTTTCTTCAGTTCCCTCAGCTTGAAAAATGCTGAGCGTGTTCTTCCCTTTTTATTTCTGATTCCAAATCTTAGCACATTTTGTTG